GTCTACATATGCCATCTTTTCATCTGCCTATGGTTGTCTATCTGTTGATTTAGCAGTTCATTTCTCTTTCTGGATGGTTTTAAATTACTGCTGCAAATGCTTTAACTATTTGGTTCGTGTTTTGAAACTAATTGGTAGAGATCGACATCATGGGCCTGTAATTGCTGTGATTGAGTGCCCTAATTCTGATTTGCTGAAGTCTAATATACAAGCATTAGATGATTTTCCTTGTGTGAACATTCCTTCCAATGCTCGTGATAGTCAATATCAGGTAACACAGTGAGTTGTTGCTTCAGTAGACATTTCTTGGTGACTTTATTGCTAGAATTCAATTAACAAAGAATGTTTGATGCTTTTCTCTTTAGGCTCTTGGGTGGCAAATTGTTGCTGCAAAAATTGGGATGCATCGATGTGCAGCATCTTCTCAGTGGTTGAATGAGAGAATCACTCTTTCACGTTATGCTCATGTAAAGTGTCTTTACCATTTAGCATTTATACTGTGTTCATCTGTATAGAAGTGCTTAAAAGTCACATTTAGCAGGTACCACTTGGAAACTTGGAAGTGGATTGGCTCCTACATACAGCAGATATCTTCTTCTCAAGAGCTTTACGTGATCAGCAGCAGGTTTTCCTTGATTTACATAATTCTTTGATTCTGTGCCTGATTCGATACTTTTAGTTCTTATCATGATATTTTTGTAGTTAATGTTTCTTAAAATTGAGAACATGTAACCTTTGCCACATTGTGTTTCAAGTACTGGGTGTCAATAGTACTTGGTTGAATTTAAGCTACCTAAGCTGTTTGTGTTCCTGTTTATCTTCTAGGTTCTTTGGATATCTGATAACGGCATCCCAGACCTTGGAGGCGTGAATGAAGAAATGTCAAGCTTCATTGATGAAGTTAGTTTGCAATAAAAAGTCTATTCTTCTCTTCCTTTCAATTCCTTTTCCAAGGGTTTTCTGGGGGTGGGGGTGGGACTTTTACCACCATTTTTAATGTCACTGCAAAGTTGTGAAGTTCCTTCCAGTGCTTTCGTCTGCTAAATACTACTACTTGAAAAATAGGTGAATCAACCAATTCTCAACTACCCTGGCGCGTATAGGAAAGTTTCTGTGGAGCTTAAGGTCCATAAGATCTCTGTTTATACTCTGTTCTATTTTCTTTCTTTTTTTGTTGTCACGCTCTTATATGTTGTTTTAACTATTATTGCTTTTCAGATTCATCACCTGGCTGTTAATGCTCTTCTGAAGAGCAACCAAATAAATGAAATAGAAGGAGGTACTCTGTTTGGACTGGACCAAGACCTGAATCCTGCTACTAAATTTCCAGATGAAAATATTGCTTTGATGAGGTGACTTCATGTGCACCTGCATTTCGTGTCCTCAAACAGTTGATTCAAAGATGTCTGGCAGATGCAGTTACATCTGGAAATGTATTTGCTGATGCAATGCTGCAACATTTATACAGATGGCTTTGCAGGTATATACTTGTTGCAATTGGGCCATTCCTTTTTGCCCTTTTTCGCTTTTACGGTTTCTAAAACCTTGTTCATTTACACTGCAGCCCAAAGTCTAAACTACATGACCCAGCTATCTATCGCATGCTACATAAGGTAATCACCGGTACAGAAACATATTTGAATTCTTTAGAGGTGCGATCGAAGGAGTCCATTATTCAACAATTCTTTTGCACCAGAAATTCATTTACTATTGCCCCCCCCCCGGCCCCTTTTTGCAATTGTCTTTCCATTTCTCTAAGCTTATCCCCCATAAGTTGTATTAAAACTAAGCTTCAGGTCTAAGAAACATATTTCTTATCGAAGCCTAAGTTGCTGATGAGGAAAGTTAATTTCTTATGCATTTCAGGTTATGCAAAAGGTTTTTGCATTACTAGTGGCTGAGTTTCGCAAACTGGGTGCAACAATTGTGTTTGCTAGTTTCTCCAAAGTCATTATTGATACCGGAAAGTTGATCTATTAGCAGCAAAAGCTTATTGTGATAGTTTGCTCAAGACTCTGCAGACTAGGTTGGTTGGTCTTAGACTCTTGCATTCACATTCCAAATTGATGTTGGCTATCTGCTTATTCTTGTACCTCTCTTGGATTTCTATGTACAGAGACTTATTTGAGTGGATAGAGTTTGAGCCTTTGCAGTTCTGGCACTCCTTCCTTTTCATGGATCAGGTAGCTCCCACTCTGGATCTTGCCCCAGACTGTCATCATGATTGTCATTGTTGCTGTTGCCTTTTTGAATTGTCTACTGTTTTTGTATGCATATCATTTTCCTTAAAAGTGGGAACAAAGTTTCATAGTCTTAAGAGAGTTTCAAGATGAGAACCATGAGAATTCACTGCTTGCTGATCTATAAGGGAAGATGAAAAAGAGAGTTTGTCGTGAACCAAGTAGTGATAAGGGATATATGGGACATAATTGGTAAAGATTATCCAAAAACGAAGGAAGAGTATTGATAGCACTAAAACATATGTTGTCAAGGGAAGCTTTCATTCGAACTTGCTGCTGAGTTTCTTTTCACTTTCTTTTTTCTGTTTGTTCACTGTGCTGTCATAGTACAATTATGGCGGAATTCAAGCTAGTTTTCAAGATGAGTCGTCTAATGACAAAGCAAGACCAAGTGATGTTAGCATACAAAAGGAATCTGAGGTGGAATTGTGTCAAGTTGGAATATTGCAGAAAACTTGCCAAGTTGACTCAGGTAGGTTTGTTTTCATCTAAAGTTGACTGCAGCATTAATTATTCTAGCAGTACTGGTCCAAAATTTTGTAATACTGTTAAACTTTTCAGTGCATACAGTATCATCTCCTGATATTCTATGCTGTTATACATTATATTCCCTTTTTTTTTGGCAGGACCATTTCATCTTGATTGTTTCTGAATTTATGTATATGCCATGGAAATTTGCACAAGAGCAAGCTGCTAAACGAGCATGTCTGGCGGATGGTGACTTGTGCACTCCATCAATCACAGCTGCTGCTGCTGAAACTTTTGACTTACAGATGACAGAAGATCTAAAGAACAAGGTATAACTTTTTCATTCAGTCTTACTGGTGGTGAAATTTTGTTCAATGTCCAAAAAGATATCAGATTGACTTTAGTTATTTGTATATCTTGCAGATTAGATCTTACTTCACGGACAAGCTTCTAAAAATTGTTTGCGATCCCAGTCTTCTCATGAAAAGAAAGTCTCGCGATCAACAGAACATCATGAATACAAATACACAACCTTTGGAGAGTTGCCATCAGGGCGATCCTGCATTAGAGTTCATTAAGTATGTTTCCACAGTTTTGGCTCTTGACCAGAGTGTTCAGCATGAGGTTCTGGTAATGCATATCTTTCAATTATCCAATCTTGCAGTAATCATCACAACAATCTTACTGTTTATGTTTACTAAGTCTATTTTCTGCTCGAAAGATGGAAAGCTTCCATGTTTTTTTTGAAGTATTAGTTAATTTATCCATGACTATTGAAATTATTGGGTTTAGGCATTAGATATTGTTGTTGATTTCATTCATGCACAAGTGATCTTTTCAAATTGTAGTGTGCTATCTGGCACCAGCTATTTTCCCACTATTTTCTGCTCCCTGATGTTCTCAATAGTAAGAGCCTTTTTCTGACGAATCTTGTAATCACTGTTGAGCAGATCATGAGGAAGAATCTGCTTAAATTTGTCCGTGTGCGAGAATTTGCACCAGAGGCTGAATTTTACAATCAATCTCCATCTTTCACTCTACCAAATGTCATTTGCAGGTATAAACAGTAAGAGTATCTATATACTAGTCATCGGTCATGGGGCTGAATAGAAAATTTCTGTGAACTTTTTGGCATGTGTGGCGATAGACCAGTCTCTGTTGAAAGCATTGATTTGCAAGGTTAACATAAACAAACAATTCAGTTGTAAAGAACTTATCTGTTCGTATTTTTTTTTTTACTTTATTTGTTAATGTTGGTTTATGTGCTATTTTCTGTGCAATCTTTTCTCATTTGAATTATATATACGTTTCTCATTTCTCTACCAATATTGCCAGCTATTGCAACGAGTGCAGAGACTTAGATTTATGCCGTGACAGAGCTTTACTAGGTCAGGAATGGCGTTGTGCCGTGCCTCAATGTGGGCAACCTTATGATCGCGAGCTAATGGAGAATGCTCTTCTACAGATCGTAAGGCAGAGAGAGCGACTCTACCATCTGCAGGACTTGGTGTGCCTCAAGTGCAACCAGATTAAAGCTGCACACTTGCTGAGCATTGCTCATGTGCTGGGTCATTTAGGTGCAAGGAAGATGTCTCAGAGTTCCGTAACAAGATGCAAGTTTTTCTAAACATCGCTCAGGATCAGAAATTTCAGCTACTTCAAGAGTGTACTTCCTGGATCTTGGAAGTCAGTCAGTTTTGGTGATGAGATGTACCTTATCCTGTGAAACAAACTTGGGATGCAAAGCAACTGTCGAATACGTGTGAAACCTGCGAGATTTACAAGGAAATTGCTGGTTTCTGGGACATGCAATCTTTCATGCGACAGGAGCAGCGCCCAAGGATGACATGCTAAGGCTGTGGTATCGGGTTTCCACCAAAAGTCCAGAGAATGGCGTGCAGAGGTTTGCTCTGAAATAAATTAAATTCCGTGCTCGGCTTACTTGGCTCCTACCAGTTTATTTATGCACCTTTCGTAGCATTGCATTTTACAGCAGATTATTGCTGGTAAAGCCAAATGCCCGGAAGTCAGAGAGACCATTGAGATGTGGGTATTGAAGGACCAGCCAGGGATGGAGGAGAGGAATCGCATGTAAATAATTTCTCAGAGCTCTCATGTATATAGAATTAATATGCATCCACCCATATACGCTTTTGATTTGGCAACTCGAATAAGCATCAATTAATGCATCTCTCAACAATGAACTGGATACAAGAGTAATAGCACCACTATTTGCTAATAAATTCCTCTCCATATGACTACCCTACAAAGCTGCACGCTTTTAACTAAAAATTGGTTCGAGAAAATAAGGCCTTCCTTCCAGAGTATGAATAACGAGTTAACGTCGCCAGTTTACATAGCTACAACTAAGTTGATGCCTACGGAAAAGGTCACCGAGGCTAGGACGGGTCCCCCGGAATAATTCCCACGCACAGGTTCTAAAAGCAAGTTAAGCCCGTGCAAGAGATTGTTCTGTTTTGATTTTGATGCTCACAGCAATTGGATCCTTCTATTCTCAAGGAAGTCAAATTCCACATTCAAAGCAAATGCACAATATTTGCTTTGAATTTCACCAGAAAAACCATCTTCTCTTGGTGTTTGAATCAGGAACTATTTCGTTCTTGTCCGGTTTTCCATTCCTTGCTTCAGTGCCTCGAGCCTTTTCCTGCAATCAATTTAGAAAAAGTTTACAGGTCACTCAACAGAAAAGATCAGACAAAACTATGTGCTTTAGCTCCTCAAAAAAGTCAGTATGACCCCGGAGAGAAGAAAACAATAGCAGGCAAATGACTGGAAACAATGAAGCAAAAGGCCAAAGTCATTCTTAAACCCAAATAAAGAAAGAACATAACATCAGGCCACAAGCTACAGGGGATGGTGGGTAACAAATCTAATCCATAGATGAAGCAGATGAGGAACCATCCCAAACGTGTGATATAATTCACCTATCAGCACATGTATCTGGAAGAAGTTCAGGGACGTAGTTTCCAGTTTGATTTTACTTCCATCCCCACAATCTCATAGTGCTAGTTAACAGTAGCCATACTATTAAAACAAAATTTTGGTACAAGGCTAGTGCTAGCTTACGGTTGGCACAATATTGTTTTATTTAGAAAAAAACACATACAAGGCTAGGTGAGTTCTTGGGCACCTCTAAAGTGCCTTAACCAATATCTACATTCCATCTGACTCTTCTGTATTAAGAATTGGGGGCATTTTACAGACTCTCCCTCTCTCAGACACACGGACACGTTGACAAACACATACACACACCCGGGAAAAGCATACACACATGCGTGCGCACACACATGTAGCATGCGCCAGCACAAATGAAGTGAAGAATCTACCAACTCATAAGCACTACATTAGCAGTTAAAGCATCTGAAATGAAGTATGCACCCTAAGGAAGAACCACATACAAAATGCTCAAATAACAGAAACCACAAAATACGTCATAAGAATGACGAGTTTGCAGTTTAAAAGAATTGAAGTCATAAAAACGCAGTTCTTATATAATGAAATCGACATTTAGTGGTGCTCGGGCTAGTCTAACCCTCATCCAAACATGCAAGTCCACTTAGTAACTATAAAGATCCCAGAAGACAAATAACTGTGGTCTTGTCATTCAATTAAGTGGTTTAGACCTCTACCAAAAAAAAAAAAAAAAAAAAAAGATACCATGCTACAATGTAAAGTCCAAAAGCAAGTATAATGCTCTAAATTACTTGATCTGCGCAAATGGAAAAGTAATTCTCATTACTTGGTATCAGTAAGGCGACCATGTAGACTCCATCTCTCACGAAACCCTTCCACGCCTTCTGTTCCACTTGCCAAAATCAGTCGTCTAAAAAACAAGGAAACAATAATAAGGATCTACAAGTAATTCTTTGACAATGTGTAAAAGTTGTTAAAAAGCCAGGCTTCTGCTGATTTCATTTTCTTTCCCGTTGTATTCTTATTCTCATTTTCCTCAGAGCTATAAGTGATAAGTCCATTCCTTGAAAACAATGTGGTGGAAGAGCAAGTCAATCAATTAGAGACAATAGAAGGCATGCAGAAGAAGTTACAGATGGTAAACAACTATAGACAAGGTAGTGTGGAAAATAGCTAAATTTTGACAGGTGCTAATCAATTTCATAATGGCTCTTTTCTTTATAAAATTCTGATCCAAGTCAAAGGTGAATCACATCTATATAATTGTGAGTCCAAAAGCTAGTTTGACAACAAACCGAGTCTAATTGAAACGCATTCTCCCAAAACAAATTTAGACTTCAAATTTGTGGCCTCATATTTAACTGAGAAGGCTACATTCTTTCCCACATCCCTGTTCAATATTAGACCAAAACACAATCTATTACTCAATACTAGACTTCATAATTATGTACAGAGTGTCACCATCCTTGGTAAAAGAACAATACTTCAGTCCTGCCCCCATCAGTTGCCAAAAGACCATGGAGACATCGGAAAATTTACAGAATAATATGAACTTCTGATGTTTTGATAAAATTTAAAAAATTCCATTACCAAAGGAACAAGTTACAAAGATGTTCTTCGCTATAACCAAACCATTCGCTGCTAGATGTATATTACCTCTCCAACAATGTCACTTCTGATTCCAGCTGGGTAGATCTTTCCTTAGCTTCTTGTGAGGGCATTGACATCCCTAACTTACGCTCACTATCTTGAAGCCGTTGTCTCAGTTCCTTGTCCTGCAAAAAGAAACCTCAATCGAAGCAGTTCATAAATATATTACAGGCAAAACACCTCAGACATTTATTTCTAATAGACTAACACTATACCATGCAGGAAGCAACAAAATCAAGCACATAGTCAAATATACTCACCCTTTTCTCTGCACATTGCCGGTAGAGAGCAATCTCATCCTGACAGAAAGGTTCAATATCATTGATCTGCAAGCCTATAGCATAAAATCAAATGATAGAGGATAAACATCATTGAACATGCTCAAATGCCTAAAAGAAAGGCCCAGGACGAAACTTACACAAGAATAAGTTCCTCAAAATTCCATCACATAAATCCACACCTTCGAGCACATGAGATGAGATTTCTGGGGGAATGAGTGGTGATGGTGGCCCCATCATCAGTCATCCCCAACCAGAATGGTCCCTCCTCCATAGTTGGCTGTGCATCAACTAGAAGCCCCACAGAGAAAGTCAATCAGCAGGGGCATTACTATCATTTCATTTACATTACAGTCAAACATGCAACGCATTGATCAGAATGCTCAAAGAAACAGCACGTTGCATCAGAAATAAAAGGCCCCAGCCAAAGTCTTATGAACTCCGATACTTCTACCACTTAAAACCAAAAAAAGAAAAAGAAAGAGTATGCAATGATAATAATGATTAGCATCATAACTATTATCACCAAAATAGCTTTCCACTTGAAGTTTCAAGTCCTATATACATAAGAAAAAGGGATATATTCCCATTTCTATACTCCATTGTCTAATTATCTGTCAAATTAAGTTGATTGGCATATTCAAAATACCAGCATTGTTCCTTTCCCTGCAACCAGTTTAAACAAAATAAAAAAAGAAAGAGAAAAATAATCAACTAGATAGCTCTTTTTTAAACGGACTCGCACAATCACAAGTAAAAGATGGCTTAGCTAAGTGCATTTCTCCTTCCTTCCTCAGCCAACTGAAACAACAGGCAACCCTCCAAAGCCGACAATGAATAGTACACAGATACATCTAATATACAGAAATGGAACAGCAAATAACAACACTGAACCTTTCCCCAAAGCCTCGTAACCCTCGAACACCTACAAAGAGTTGAACAGAAGTGCATACATGCATGCTACAACGGAGGCTAAGTTTAAATTCTCTCCACAAAGAACTTAACTATTTTCACTCAACAGAACTTGTATCAGTATCACCATCGTCTCATCATCCATACTCTCCAATAGAATTACTATTTTTTTCTAGATTGAACATTGCAAACCACTGTGTCTGTAGTTTAATTTCAAAACAAAGATATCAAGTTGCTAATGTAAAGAGGGCTCAGGGGCAAACCATCCATGATATGGGTTTCTTTCTTTCTTTCTTTCTTAGCTTTTTCAGCTGGGTTGATTGATTCTTGAAACTCCGACGAGGAGTTTTAGTGATATTCTTTAATGCCTAGAAAGTTCTGAGGCATAGCAAATTAGAACTAAAATGACAAAAATAAATGGTATGAAGTCACCAAAAAGAGAGATATTTGAAAAAGCTGGGCTGTGTTTGTGGTCAATTTGGCAGGGAGGTTGGCCTAGCCGGCAGTGGTTGGGAGAGAGAAAGACGGCAGCTTGGGGTGGCCGTCGTTTATATGTTTTGACAATGTCTTACCATTAGGGACTGGCACACCTATGTGTGGTAAATCCGAAAGAAAAAAATTTAAAAAAAATATTAATTGTTAAAATTTTTAGTAGTTATCGGAGGTTTTGCCTTAGAAATATGAGTTTGGGAAGAATGAGTTTGGATTAGCCATTTTTTGGGGTGTTTTTGAAAAAGTTTACTGTAGTAGAATTTTTATAGTGTATTTTGGAGTTATTTTAGAAAATATTTTGGAATATTTAAGAGTAGAAAAGTTTTTAGAATATATTTTGGGATATTTTTTAAACATTAAGAAAATTTAGATTATTTTTTAGAGTATTTTTTAAAAATTTTAATAATATTTAAAAAACTAGTTTTTGAAAACTCAGCGATGGCAATTATTGCCTTGTTAGAAGTTTTGTTAGGCTAATAAAGTAGGGGGTATGTGAGTGTTTGTGCATCTTTATTATAGTGATAGTTATGTAGAGATAGTTTAACAAATAAGATGTGGATAGATAATAATGAATATTGGAAGTGCATATTTGGTAAACTAATTAATAACATTATTTTTTTTACACCAAATTCTACTCAAACTTATATATGGAAAGATACTAGGAAAATTTTATGTACTAAATTGAATTCCAAAACTCTCAATCGAATTAAGTTTTATTACTAAATTGTACAAGTATTAAATTGATTTAAATTACTTGAATTTTAAAAAAAATTTTGACGAGGAGAGATGGGATTTAAACTCAAAACCTCTAATTTCTTATAATCTCAATCTTGAACATTTGAGTTATTTTAAAACTACTTGAGTTAATTTTGTGTTTATAGCTAAATTAAATTCAATTTATAATCTGAACTCCTTAATAGAAATATGCATTCTGACTCTTGATTTTCTAAACAAACCGCTTTCAATATTGCACCCCTTTTGGCATAGCAGCTAAGGATTTGCTAATCCAAATTGGATCAATTAATAAGAACGAGACACCTCTTCACAAAATACTGTATGCTCGATTCCCACTACGGATGTGAAGATTTTGTTAGTGAATGATTTGTAAAAACTTTATAATTTCGAGAGCATGCCTTCACCTGCACTGATGATTGAAGTTGAATTCACCTAAACTTCAACTTATATATATAAATAAATAAATAAATAAATAAATATATATATATATATATCTACCAACTAGATAAGAGAACAACTCAAGTTCTCCATTGATGCCAAGTGTCAAGGTCTCATTTGAGGAAACAAATATCATTTCTTTATTTTGGACATTAATGAGAGAGAAATGTCTATTTGAGCCTTGGTATTGAAGTTCAAAGGGCTAATAGTTCCTCACTATTTAGGGGCTAATTGGTAAAAATAGTTGAATTATTTTCATTTGATTCTTTTGTTTGGTTTTTAATTGGTGAGAAAGGTCAATTAAATCCTTTTATGAAAAATAGCTTTTTAAATAGTTGCTAACTATTTAGGGTTATTTTTGTCCATTTAAATTATTCCTTTTATATTTCTTTGGTCAAATGTAAATAGTTGTAAACTATTTGGGTGTCCTTTTATCACATGGGGTTCTAATTAAATATTCCAAATGTAAAAGCCGTTAGAGCCAAAGTCTTCCAAAGAAAGATTACTTCTCCACGTTCTGTTCCCTGCATTATAGAGCTATGACGAAGCACGTGACTTCAGTCTTTTCTCGTTCCAAACTGTGGGCCATTTTTGTACTCAAAAACAGTGAGGAAAGGAAAAGGTTTCGGCCCCTTTCTTTGGTTTGACAGGAACCAACGAAGTCAAATAAATGGTCTTATTAGTCACTGAAGTTTTTTTTCATTTAGGCAGAGTTTCCTTCCTTTTCTTTGCGTCGCATAGCCTCTTCCTTTTCGCCGATTAGTAGCCAGCTATATGCGCCTGCAAAATGTTCAGTTTTCAGCCAATTCCTTCAACAACTTTGTCCTTCCTTTTATTGCAACCCACAAATTCCTCCGCACGCACGTGAATTTTTGTTTTCCCCAAAAATTAGGTCACTGAAATTTCTTTCCCCAAAATCTGTGAGCCTGCAAAATTTTCAGTTTTCTGCCAATTGTTCCAGCAACTAATTGTACTTCCTTTCGATTCACTTCCAAAAAATCCTCCTCATCCACGTGAATTCTTCTTTTCCCCAAAAACAGCTCATTTTAGGTATGGCTATGTACCGAGTTATCATCCATGGTACAAGAACTTATTATTTCCAGCCTTATATATACATTTGTTTCCCACTTTTGCCGGTATTCAGAAGAGGAGCAAACAAAATCTAGGTATGTTTCTATTTTCTCTCTTCTTATTTTTGAGTTGCAATTTTTTTACTTTGAATGTTCTTCCCTCCTGTTTATCATTGGCTTCCGTTAATTAGACACTGTCATGTGTTTCATATTATGCATAAAAGAATGATTATGATGTAATTTATCGATTAACTTATGTTTATTTTTTTTCTCTGTTTTTATTGATTTCAAATGTTGCCCGACTTTTGCCAACATTCAGCCGAGCAAAGAAAATATAGGTATGTTTCTATTTTCTCTCCTTCCATTTTGAACTGCAATTTTTTTTTTCATTGTTGTTGCATCTGTCTATTGCCTTCGTTAATTAACGACCTCCATGTGTTTCATGTTATGCTATGATGGTTATTTTTCGGATTAGCTTATGTTTATTTTTGCCTCTTTTTTAATTTCAAATGCTGCATGATGTTGTTACCTGTTTATGTATTGAAAAATTACATAATTTAGTGTTATTGTAGTTTGGGTTATTAAGGTAGTCATTCTATATATATTAGTTAGTTTTAGCTATTCTAGGATGCTTTGATTTTGTCATTGTTATGTGCTTTTCGCTTAGTATCTTACTTCCTTTATAGTATTTATAGTAAAATTAGATTTTGATCTTTTGTGTTTCATAATGAAGAAAAAAAGAAAATTTAGTTCAAGTTTTAGACTGATAGATGAGATATTTGATGATGCTTTTGATCTAAGCATGTTAGAAAGAAGCAAAAAGAAAAACTTAAATATGCTGACTGAGCATATGAAGTTTACTGTCGATTCTTCTGTTTCTCAGCCATATTCTCCTTTTGTAATCAACAATGAGAATGACATTTGTGAAAATCACTTTGTTGAAACATGTGTTTCACAAAATCACATCGATAGGAATCTAATTCTGCCAACTGATTGCAGAGGTAAAAATGTTTGCTTCCTCCAGAAAATGCTGGAGGAATTCATTATACCTCTGATTCTACTCTGACAATCATTGTTTGTTTGCAATGAATTCATCTTTAATCAATCTGTCTGATGTTCAGCCTGCTGGTTCATCACAAGTGAACTGCAATGAGCAATCATTTGTTATAGAAGTCAGTTTCAGAGTGAGCAAGTCACAAATGTTAAAGGGAGAAATGGTTATTCTGAAATACCAAATCTAGACATGCAACTAACTAATTATACTCCTCCCCTCTTTGTGAATAAGCATATACCTATAATAGGTAGTACTCCAGTTATATCTTATAATAACAGGCCTCTTGAATATTTGACATATATGCTGGAGAGGTGATAAATAAGAAAGAATATAGAAGACAGGCCTACTTTAGATGGAAAAAGAAAAGATTCAGAGCAAAGTCTAGATCAATTGCTTCTACAAATATAATTAAAAGCAAACAAGCACCACAATTGTTAATCATTGTTCCTCAGTTGTTGATGTTCAGCGTAGTTCTCAATGTCGTTCGAAGCATCGCAGATCATCTCTGAAAAAAACTCAGCCAGGTCTAGAGTTAATACTTTTAAGTTTTCTAACATGTTTTTCTCCACTGCCATTAAAATCAATTGAATGGTTTGATTACTAAATGCTGTAAAATAATTGTATTTTAGGAAGAGGGTGCAAAACAGGAAGAGCTTTGTTGGATATAATTCCTAACAAAGCTGATATCCTACCAACCCAACTAGATTGTCCTCATTGTGGAGCGAAGAAGTTTTTTTCTGAGACAGCATATTTTTGTTGTCAAGATGGTGAAGTTGTTTTAGCTCAAAACAAAATTCCAGATATCTTTAAAGAGCTATTGACTTCATCTTCACAAGAGGCACAATCTTTTAGAACTCTTATTAGAACGTATAATAATCATTTTGGATTCACTTCCTTCGGTGTTAAAACTGATCTGACTCTCTCAAAAAGGAATAAAGGAATTTACACTTTTAGAATTCAAGGACAAATATATCATTTTCTGAATGATTTCAATTCAAGCAATGGTCATAGTAATAATTTACAGTTATATTTCAATGATTTTGAAACTGAAGTAAGCAATCGATTAGCAGCTTGTCCTAGACTATCTGAAAGTGTAATTAGAAAAATTATGCAAGTTCTTGAGTCTAATCCATATGCAAAATTTTTTAGAAATTTGAGAGAGGTACCTAATTTAGATAACTACTACATTGTGTTAAAAACTCTGCCCGGTGTTGATCAAAGAGTTTATAATAGACCAACAACTTCACAAGTTGCTGGTTTGTGGGTTGAGGGGCAAGAAAATGGAGAAACCGGCAGGCGTGATATTAGAGTTCATACCCATAGTGGTGCTTCAAAAAATATACAGTACTATTATGGATGTTATGATCCACTCCAATATCCAATACTTTTTCCTTTTGGTGATCTTGGCTGGCACCAAGGAATACCAAAGAAAGGAGCAAAAGTATATGGAAGAAAGAGGAAAAAAAAGCAACCTGTAGCAGATTTGATTTCCCCTGCAAATGCTGCTACAGCAGAACAATTAATCCAAAATGAAGAACATGGTTAGTACAATAACTATATACCATGATCTTTCATTTTACATATTTAATATTTATGATTAGACATTTAATGATGTACTATTATTATTTGCACAGCAATGGAAAGCATACATGAAGATCCAAATTTTGTGTCCCTTCGAGAATATTATTGTTATAAACTTCAGATTAGGGACAATGATGAATCTTGGTTATTACATTTTGCTCGACTTCTACAACAATATATTGTTGATCAATATGTGAAGCTTGAGACACAAAGACTCGACTTCTATAGATTACAACAAGAGGAAATTAGGAGAGAGTTCTTGAAAGGCATAATAGATGCTTTAGGATCAGGTGAGAGTCAAGCATGTAATGTTGGCCAGCGTATCATATTACCACCATCCTTTATTGGAGGGCCAAGAAATATGAGACGTAAATACATGGATGCAATGACATTAGTACAAAAAAAGTATGGTAAACCAGATATATTTCTGACCATGACTTGCAATCCTAATTGGCCAGAAATAAAAGAACACTTAATAGACAAAGAAGAGGCACAAAACAGACCAGATTTGCTTGCTAGAGTATTTCATGCTAAGTTAGAGCAGCTTAAAGATGAACTTTTGAAAAAATGCATCTTTGGTGAAGTGGCAGCTTACACTTATGTCATTGAATATCAAAAACGTGGACTACCACATGCACATTTCTTGCTAATTTTAAAGTCAAAATTCAAGATGTATACCCCTCAAGAATATGATAAAATTGTCTGTGCTGAGATACCAAATAAAGAGGAAAATGAACATCTATATAATTTGGTCATTAAACATATGCTTCATGGACCATGTGGTTCACTTGATCCAACAAGTGTATGCATGAGAAAAAATGGAACTTGCAAGAATAATTTTCCTAAAAATTTCTGTGAGGAAACTATTCAAACTCTGAATGCATATCCTGAATATCGAAGGAGAGATGATGGAGTTCAAATTAAGATTAAATCAGTCTTTTAGATAATAGATGGGTTGTACCATACAATCCATATCTTTTGGCTAAATTTGATTGCCATCTTAATGTTGAAATATGCTCTACAATTAAGGCAGTCAAGTACATTTACAAGTATATCTATAAAGGTCATGATAGAACTAACTTCTGTGTAGTAAATAATAAATCTGATTCAGAAATTGATGAAATTAAACAATATGTATCAGCTAGGTGGGTTTCTCCACCTGAAGCAGCCTGGAGAATTTTTAGATTTTGTATGAGTGAAATAAAGCCACTATTATTCATTTACAATTACATTTGGAGAATTATCAGCCAATGAGTTTCAAAAAACAGCTAATCTTCAAAATGTTGTCAATAACTATCATTTGAAAAAAACAATGCTCACTGAATTTTTTTACATGAATAGGACAGATAAAGCAGCTCAGGATCTAAATTGTACTTATGTAGAGTTTCCTGATCATTTTGTCTGGTTACCTAATCAAAAATACTGAAATTGAGAGAAAGAGGTGAATCAATAGGCGAATAATGACTGCTCATCCTTCTGAAGGAGAACGATACTACTTGAGATTACTCTTATCAAAGGTTCGATGTCCAACTTCATTTGATGACTTAAGAACCTTTAATGGAGTTCAAGTAGAAACGTTCCAAGAAGCAGCATTAATTCGAGGCTTGTTACAAAATGATAACAGCCAAGAAATTTGTTTACAAGAAGCCTCACTTTTTCATATGCCCTACGAAATGAGGCGACTTTTTGCAACACTTTTGGTTTATTCTTGCCCTAATGACCCAAAGGCATTGTGGCAAAATTTTGAATCTTCTATGTCAGAAGATTTTGCCAAATGTTCAGCAATGACATCTGCACAAGTGAAAAGAAATGTCTTGCAACAAATTGATGGATTTTTGCAATCCATGGGAAAAAGTATACATTCATATAATTTGATTCCTACTGGATTCTCTTATGAAAATATAGAGAATGAAACTCGAGAATTAAGAGCAGAAAGAAACATTGTCATTTCAGAAACTGACTTAAATTCAATTCAGCTACTCAATGAAAAACAGAAAAAAGCATTTGTAGTCATATCTGAGAGAATTTACTCAGATAGACCTGGTGTTTTTTTCATTGACGGTCCAGGTGGTACTGGAAAAACATTTCTGTATAGAGCTTTGTTAGCTGATGTTAGATCTAAAGGTTATCTTGCTCTTGCTACAGCTACATCAGGAATTGCAGCTTCCATTTTACCAGGTGGAAGGACTGCACATTCCAGATTTAAAATTCCAATAGATATCTTTGATGGTGCAACATGTCGGGTAGTAAACAAACTTCTTTAGCTGCAATGATCAAGGAAGCAAAGCTTATAATCTGGGATGAAGCACCAATGTCTAAAAAGGCAGCAATTGAAGCTTTAGATGATCTCTTAAGAGATTTAATGAATTCAGAAGAAATATTTGGGGGAAAGGTAGTTGTACTTGGTGGAGATTTTAGACAAACATTACCAGTTGTTAGAAAAGGAACAAAAGCTGAAATGATAAATGCATGTTTGATAAATTCTCCATTATGGCACAAATTAGAGAAATTGCAATTAACAGAGAACATGAGAGCAAAATTAGATCCTTCATTCACGCAGTTTCTCTTAAAAATTGGAGATGGAACACAGGAAACAGATGAGAATGACATAGTAAAACTTCCATCTTCAATTATAGTTAACTATAATAATGAGACTGATGCAATTGAAAAGCTAATCAATATTGTGTATCCTGAATTTAAAGATCCTTCAAAGAAACTGCATTGCTCACAAAATAGAGCAATTCTAACTACAAAGAATAACTTTGTAGATGAAATAAATGATGAATTGATCAAAAAATTTCCAGGAGATTTGGCTGAGTACCTAAGCTATGATGAAACACTGAATGAAAATCATCAATCTGAATACATTGATCTTCTGAACACTCTTACGCCTAGCAATTTACCTCCACATAGGTTACTGTTAAAACTCAATGCCCCAATAATTCTTTTAAGAAATCTCGATCCTGCTGAATGATTATGCAATGGAACTAGACTGATAATAAAGAGTTTGAGCAAGAATGTTATTTGTGCTAAAATTGCAGTTGGTGATTTTTGTGGCAAAGAAATTTTTATACATAGAATTTCCATGCAGCCACCAAGTGATGAACAATATCCAGTTCCATATAAGAGAACACAATTTTCAATTCGTTTGTGCTTTGCGATGACAATAAATAAAGCACAAGGCCAAACTTTAGATTTTTGGTATATATTTGAAAGAACCTGTGTTTTCACATGGCCAATTATATGTTGCACTTTCAAGAGCCAAAACAGCTTCGCTGTAAAAGTCCTTATCAGGCCAACTTATTTTGATGAATCATGCACTGATCATACTAAAAATATAGTATATAAAGAAATTCTTAAAGTTCCCAGATTACATTATCAGGTTTTAACATTCATGGCCTTTTTTGTTTAGAAATTTATTATTTTGTTTAATTGACTCTGATTTCTCTACCAATATAGGTCATCATGCTAGACATATATCTTCAGTGCTAGACATTCAGAAAGGAGCAGAAAAGTGGACTGTTCTCGCACAAGTTGTTCACAGAGGGCACAATCAACTGACTCGTGAAGTTCCACCGAGGCGAATTATGCGCTTTCTGCTCACAGATACTGAGGTATGCAAATGATTTTCTATTTCTCAGCTCATTAAATTCATCTATGAGAATATTTCAGATTTTGTATAAGTACATTTCATGATTTGTCTGTTCATTACATTTGCTTAAGGAAAAATCCTTAGTATTCATGTAACTGTATACATACTACAATATCAGAACTATAGTTTCATTGCAACTGAATACTCACCTAACTATTAAAGTATTCATATATAATTTTAATTTCTGTGTGATAAATATGATATTAACCATTAACATGACAGTTATGTTTTAACTCATAATATATATAAAACTAACTTTTTCTAATCCTAATCAGGGAACAAAAGTTTCTGTTGTGACTTATGAACAACACATCAAGATCTTCAACAAATTTCTGCAGCCTTATCAAAGATATTATGTTTCTAATGCAATTGTGGTTCCTGCTGACCCAACATACAGAGTTGGGAGTTATGAATGCTCCTGGATTTTGAACTACAAGACTTTGATTGAAAATTATGCTGAACCTGTGCCACCTATGTTGCCTTGCATATTTGAGCTACAAACTTCTCTGATCTGCACAAATATGCTGATTCAGATAACCTTTGCAGTAATTTTTCTTCATTATTTTTTAATTTACTTGACAGTCATTTGACATTTTATTGATTTCTTACATTCATATCAACATTTTGTTTCAGATATTAGAGGCTTTGTCATTCACGCATTCCCAGTAAAACAGGCAGATCCAGATTGTACTTCTAGAGACATTATAATAGTGAATGAAGAGTAATCAAACCTGAATACTATCATTTTATTAAGTCGTTTTAGATTAATGGCAGTAGTTACAATTTGTTTGTTTACCTGACAGGAAGAAACTCATGCTTATGACTCTCTGGAATGAATTTGAACATGATGAAGGGATCAAAATAGCAGACATGATTAGCACTGCCCCTCTAATCATAGCTCTCCGTGTTAAAGTGACCACATTCAATAGTAAAATTTTCACTATGCATTATGATTTCTCTATTGTTTGGCTTCTTAGTACTTTATGTTATAATTACTAAACCATTTCATCATTTTTACAGCTTTGTCATTCACTACAAGGTATTCATCTGGAATTCTGATTAGTCCTCCACTCCCAGATGACCTCTCTTTCAAGCAATGGTAAGTCTACTTTTTTTAAAATTTTTTACCTTAAATTATCAATTAAATTTACTGGTACATTTTTAATTTGTGTTCTAAACATAATCATTCAGGTTTACTTTGAACAAGGAAGAAATCCAAAATTTGCTTAATGCTAAAACATACAGTGATGCTAACTGTTTACTTCCTCCTCCAAATGAAGAGGATATCAAAGCAATCAGCACTTTTCAAGCATCATTTCCAATTGTAAGAGCTATTTGTTATTTTAAAATTCTGCTTAAATATAACTTTTTTGTCTCTAATTGACATTCAAATACCATTCTTGGTTGCTTGACTCAGCAAAAGGCAGCTTGGGTGCAAGGAACTGTCAAACTTGCATATGGATTCACCAAATATTGGACTACTGCTTGTGTGAATTGTCACAAAATTGTGAATGCTGACATTGACTGGATCATTCATTGTCCTTTATGCAAACAGCAAAGTGAAGTTGAACTGAGGTTAGACCATAAACTTATGTTTCTAAATTAAACATTCTTCGCATTTATTACCATATATTAATCTTAATTCCTTCACTTGACTAAAGGGCTCGCATTCCAATTATAATAACTGATCCTTCGAGCTCAATACATTGCATTATATCTGGAGAAGATGCTGAAAAAATGATTGAGTTCACTCCACTACAACTTAAGCAAGCACAGGAAGATGTAAGTACAAATTTCATGTCTTATATTCAGCCATAAATACAAATATACATAGACAAGAATTCACAGAACCTAACTTAAAAATTTTTCTGCTGTAGGGCTTTGGAATAGATACTGAACTTAATGATGCCTTGAAAAAATACACAGTTGTCTGTTTTCTGAAATCATATGAGACTCTCTTCCAAGGTCAACTGCAGAGAAAGAATACTGTCATCAAGGCTTACATTGCAGCTGAACTATCGCACCATCCCCTTCCACTGGCACTTCCAGAAAACACTCAAGTTTCTTCTGCACTTGGCAGTTCATCAGCAAGGTATCCAGAAAAATCATCAAAGGATCAGATGTTCACACCAACACAAAGTTGGTACTTGAAGAAATTGCTGGAGCCAGTTCTTACAAAGAAGGGCAGACGTCTACAACCAGTGGAGCAAAAAGAAGTCTTGACTTTCCAGAATATTTACCAGCAGACACACTTCCTGAACATGCAACAAAGACTGCTGAACAGTTTGCCAAAGAACATGCAAAATCATATAACCCACCTGGCAATATGAAGGATAGTCCAGCAAAGAAAGCTAAAGCAAAGGAAGACTGATATGGTCTAATTCTGTACTTTTGTTATATCTTTTGTTCATTGCCTTGATGACTGTCTTGATTGCTTAGATAATACCTTTTGAATTATATTATGATCCTTATTCTTTTGACTTATAAAGTAATGGATCCTAATATATCTATGAATGGTTTAACCATCAATGTTGTAATTCAATAGGCAATGAAGCTTATTTATACCCCCTAATATGTAACTGTGGCTTGAACTGAAGTGTGTGTTCTGCTAAGACATGAATGATTGAGTTTATGTAATCTATGGTTGTGATTTGCATATTCATTATTTACCTCTTCATTTTTCAGTTGGTCATATAGATATATGGTCTCGATTGCCCAACTGTGATTGAGTTGTTGTGATAAATATGATATTAGTTGATCATATTAGTGGATAGGCCGCTGCATATCACGGCCAGAACCATGCTAGTATATGTATATATAAAAGATGCTAAGGATCTCCTGACAGACTCACCACTGCATGATCAATGCCAGTCCCAAATGGGACCAACGCATCTCTCTCCAAAGCTCGGACTGCAATGCTCAGAGCAATGGATGAGAACTAGACCTTTTTCTTACAATTTCTTACGAAAGTAAGAATTTCGGCAAACAAACCTAATCCCCCGAAGATTACCTTCAAAGTCGGCAACTTTTGAAGGCTCCCAGGGAGACTTATCTACCCAAACCCATACTCCCTCAAGACCGATGTGGGATGGAAACCCCGACAAGGGCCAAGCCTCTTGGGCCTTTTTTTACCTCCAAGGGCTGCTGCTGCTAAGAAGTAACTACCCCCCACAAACCCCAGTTAGACCTCAATCCTAATTTATTCGGAATGGAAGGCGTTAATTGACAGAATTAGTCATGGATGCATTGGTCTCTTCTTTACATGTGGTAATCGATGATATTAAACTTTTGAATAAATTTGACATTGTTTCTTCCCTTAGCTTCTCATGATGAAGGGAACTCAAAATTTATAGCCTTGGTTTGCTAAAGTTTACCGTTTAACTTTGTTAATAATGTTAGATGAAATGATTATTTTCTTGTCTGGCTTGTTAAAGAGGCACATAATATTTCTATAGTACTTGTCTTTATTATATAATTACTCTTGTAATTAACCTTTTACTGAAATATATAATAAAGATGACTTTGACAAAAAAAAAGAAAATCACTAGATATTTTTTTTTGGACAAAATACAATTTACCTCCCTGTGATTTAGCAAATTTTCACATAATCCCCTTATAGTTTCAAAAGTTATATATAACCCCTCATAGTTTGGATTAAGTGTCAAAGTGACGGAAATAGAACCCATAAAAATATCAAAATTGCCCTTGTTTAAAAATTAAAATTGTTGAAACGACCAAAATATATAAATATAATATGCATCACACTTTAACTCCGTATGATTTTATGTTTCACCATATAACCCTTTTATAATTTAGTGTTTTATCATATAACTCTTTAATGGTTTTCAAAATATATACATATAACCCCTGTGATTAATAATTTTTAACTTTATATAGGGGTACTTTTGACATTTTAGTTAATTCAATTATAGAATGTAAATTCCGTCATTTTGACACTTTAATCCAAATCATAAGGGAATTATGTGTAGTTTTGAAAATATAGGATTATGTGAATAAGTGCTAAATTACAGGGAGTAAAGTATATTTTGTCCAAAAAAAGGATATCTAGTGAACAAAATCAACATAAGTGCTCTTATAACTTAAACATTTTACTCATAGGAACTACAGATTTTATTAAGTGCAATATAACTTAACCTTGATGTTATCGTTTGAAAAAAAAAATATAACTTAACCTTTCTTTTGTTACAAGATGTATGCACATATGCCATAGGGATAGACCATAATTACCAACAGTTGTGCATACTTCTTTTTAAATCACCATGTAATTCATTTTTTCTTCTGAACCTAACTCTTAGGATCTC